ACATATCTAAAGTAAGGAGACGTTTCACCAGGCCTGCCTTTAAAGAACGTCCTGGTTGTACTTGCTCCGGTTCATTGGCAGTCATTTGGAGAAGCGGAGGGCGGGCATGGGACAGGAAGACCTTCAATAACAAGCCTGGCACAGTGCTTTCAACAATGCTGTCAAACACAGACATAGTCATGAGCATGGCCCAGGATGGGGCAGTGCTCTGTTGGAAATAGGGTCCCTATGAGTCAGAATCACCTCAGTAGCACCTAACAACAACAACAACACAGCGTTACATGCACAAATGGATAAGCACTTGCCTGCTAACCAAAAGATTTCTGGTTTGAGCCCACTCAGAGGCACTCTTGAAAACCTGGGAAGCACATTTCCATTTATGGGTTTACTGTGCTGCTGTTCTTGTTATTAGGTGTCATCGAGTCAGGGCCAATCACAGCAGACTCTCCAAGGGGTTTTCAGAGACTCTAAGTCACATGGAGGATATTGTCCATCCATCTCCCACAGAGCAGTTGGCAAACTTGAACCTTTGAATTAGCCAGGCAACTTCTTACCTCTGGGGCACCAGTATGCACTCGAAGTCACAGTCAACGCAATGCCAACTAGCTTGATTTTAAAAAGAAACCAAAAACCAAAACAACAAACAAAAAAAAACCCCACAACAATCCCACCAATAATGTATAAGAGTTCCTTTCTCGCCACATCCTCTCCAACATCTCTTACTTGCTGCCACGTTAAACTTTGCCACTCTTACTGGAGTGAGATGGTACCTCATTGTGGTTTTGATTTGCGTCTGTCTTATTGCCAGTGATTTGAAGCATTTCTTCATGTGTCTGTTTGCCATTTGAGTATCTTCCTTTGAGAAAATTCTTTCCATGTCTTTTGCCCGTTTTGTAATTGGGTTACCAGTCTTTTTCTTGTAGAGCCAGGAGTATCCTGTAAACTTTTGTTATGAGACTCTTGTCTGAGATGGTATTACCAAATGTTTGTTTCCAGTCAGTAGGTTTTCTTTTCACCCTGTTAGAAAAAGTTTCTGATGCAGTTTGGCGCTTCCTCAATTTCATAGAAATTCCATATGACCCAGCTATTCCACTATTGGGAATCTACCCTGAGAAAATGAGAACTAAGACTCAAAATGGAGACTTGTACACCAGTGTTCACAGCAGCATTTTTCACCATTGAACGTGGAAACGTCCCAGATGTCCAACCACAGCTGAATGGATTGACAAATTATGGTACATTCACACAATGGAATACTATGCAGCATGCAGGAGCAATGGTTTTGTAAATTATTACCTAACTTGAGAGGATTGGAGAGCATTATGCTGAGTGAACTAACTTAGTCCCACAAGGACAAATATTGCATAAAAGCCAACATTGTAGGGTGAGTATAAGGATCCAAGGAGAGAGAGAGAGAGGTTGGAAACAAGGATGAGAATGTGCAGGGGGCAGGGGGATTAATCATGGAGATGTACAGTTTGATGGTTTGATGGGAGGGGGGGAAATTGGAAGAATCTGTTCTTGAACAATGTATTTCAATTTTGGAAATGAACTAATATAATTTAAAAAAAACCAACAAGCCAACAAAACACAGCAAACTCACCAACAACCTGCGTTAAGCAGATGACACAACCTTGCTTTCTGAACATGAGAAAGACTTGAAAGTCTTGCTGCACAAGATAAAAAATTACAGCCTTCAATATGGATTTCATTTCAACACTCAATAAAAAAATCTCCACCACTGGGCCAATAAGCAACATCATGATAGATGGAGAAAACATTGAAGTTTTCTACAATTTCATCTTGCTTGGATTCACAATCAACACCCTTGGTACCAGCAGTCAAGAAATAAAAAGATGTGTTGCAATGACAAAATCTACTGTCCAGGACTTCTCCAAGGTGTTAAGGAACAATGATGTCAGTTTACAGACTAAGGTACATTTGATTCAAACCATGGTATTTTTCAGTTAATTGCTATACATCTGAAAGGTAGATGAAGATTAAGGATACCAGAAGAATCAATGCCTTGGAGTTGTGGTGATGGAGATGAGCACTGAATATCCCATGAATTGCCAAAATATCAAACAAATATGTCCTGGAGAAAATTCAGCCAGGGTGCTCCTGGGAAGGTGAGAGACCGAGTCTTATTCTGTTTTTTTTTCTGGACTGAAAAACAACCCTTTGGACACTCTTCCTCAAACAAACCAGAAACCAACCCAACAAATCAAAAAAAGACAAATGAAGACATACTGGTGAGGCTGCAGGGCCCGCCTTCCCAGTGGGCTTCAGTGATGCCGACGTTCAGGGTCTAGGAGGGCTCACGCCCAGCCAGCTGCAGTTCTGGTCAGGCCCGGCGACCCTCGCGTGCATTTCTGGGGCAGACCTAACAGGAGACGGCTGTGTGCTCACCTGTGGAACACAGGGCTAATTAGAACACCGCTCAGAGCAGCTTCACGTGTGGGGCGTGGTGAGGGGAGAGAGCATCAGCTGGACTCAATCTTGCAACTTTAAAAACACGCTCAAGTTGCGGTGGAGCTGACTCATAGCTCGGTGTCCAGCGGCTTTGTGGAGGCTGTGAGGCGCAGTGTCCAGCTTTCTCCTTCAGAGCGGATTCACACTGCTGACAGGTTTGTCCTTTGAATACTTGGCGCTATTTCCAAAGACTACGTTATCACCTAGTTTATTATTGTTGTTGTTTGCTGTTGAGTCAGAACCGACCCATACCTGATCCCCTAGAGAGTTTTCAGGGGCTTTAAATAGCGCAGGACGAGGGAGAGTGCACGTCGTCCTGCGGAGAATGTGGTGGATTCGTATTTGTCATCTTGGCTTAAACTGTTTTCTGTTAATCTTAAATATACAAAGTGTGGTCATGGGTGGTTGCGAGCCCTGGAAGTGCAGTGGTTAAGTGCTCAACTCTTAACAGAAAGGTCAGTGATTCGAGACCACAAGCTGCTTCAAAGCAGAAAGATGAGTCTTCTTCATAAAGATCCCAGTGTTGAAAACCTGATGAGTATTGTTCCGAGTTCAGATCGATTTGACGCTAGTGATTACGTTTAGTCAGTATTTCATGAAAACTCAGTTTGTCTTCCTAAATATTCTTTAAAATATTTTTAAACTAGTGAAACCAAAACTGTCTTGTTGTGTGGACTTGCGATGCCCTGACTCAACCAGCCAGTGAAGGCGCCTGACCCTTCACAGGAGGTTTATGCTGCCTTAGGCGCCGCCGCCACCTGGTGACCGACACAGAAAGTGCTGGCTTGGTGGCAGGAGAAACCGCCTCTGGGGATCCTGGTGTACACTGAAAGGAGATGCATACCCTGAACTAGGCACATAAACCATTAAGCAAGCAGGCATATTACTGAGATCAGGATTACCTCACTTTATTGCACCTGTGACTCTATTGTACTTTACAGTTAATGCATTGTTTTTTTTATAAATTGAAGGTTGCCAAATCTTAACATCTAGCAAATCGATTGGTACCGTTTCCCCGACAGAATGTTCTTGTTCTATGTTTGTGCCACATGTTAGTGATTCTTGTAGTATTTCAGTTCTTGTAGTGCTGTTGTACCCTTAAGGACTAGTTAAACTGTACAAATGAAATATTCCTGTGACGGGCCTGATTACCACGTGGCAGGACCACAGCTGCCGTATCCCCGTGGGCTGCTGGACACCCTTTCCATTTGCCAATTAACGACAGCTACACTTGTACCATATTCTTTGTGTCTGTATATGTCCTGAAGACCAGGGATATCTGCTATGACTTTAAAAATGCTCTGTAATAATGTTTAAGTTTGTAGGTATTGATAACGCAACATTACATAGAGCCCAATACACAAGATAAGCTGTAAAAATAGCTTACTCAGTATTATTTTAGGTGATACCTTGAACTATCATAAAAAGATGCTCATAATTTGGTGCCTAACCACCTTTCAACCTTATTGTCGTTCAAGCTTTATAAATTACTTTCCATTTCTGGAATCTTCCAGATTCTTTCTAATTTGTTCTGTTTTCTTTCCTGGAACTCCCTTCCACTTCTTTACCTTTTATATTTATTCTTCAAATTTCAAACCAGTGATGACAGCTTGTAAAAAAATGCCCCTACGTTTATTTGAAAATGTCAGCATGGCCTAGCAGGGTCTCTGGAAAAGCGAAAAACCTGGGTTGGAATCCCGTCTCCTCTCCTCTGCTTCCTCTCTCCACATTTGGGGTTTCCACCCTTCTGTCTGAATAATAATAATCACCCAGAATTAAAAGTGGAGGTGGCCAGACTTTAAGAACCTTAACTTTGGTTATGTCATTAGGGAAGACTAGTCTCATAAAAGAAATGTCATGGTTGATAAAGCAGGGGGGCAGAAGAACCAGAGGAAATGCTCAGGAGATGAGCTATCACAACAGTCACAACAGTGGACAGAGGGTCACGGTGAGGAAGCCACAGGGCGAGGCCGTGCTTCCTGCTCTTCGATGGCCGTGTCCACCACCGCCACGTCCCCTGGTCCCAGCCTTGCTGTGAGAGGTAAACAAAGTGTGTAAAGGACTTGGGAGGTCTCCATCCAGTACCCAAAAGAAACAGTAACGCTTTGAAACAAGTGGACATCTAGCAGCCCAGTCACTGCCCATCCGTTATGTGACTGCTGAATAAATGGGTTTCGTTGTCTTGGTCTTGCTTGAGGAGAAATAAGGTCTGTTACTTAAAAGTTAAAAAGAACATGAGTACCTTGAACTTTCTGAAGCTGCTGTCCTCTTGAGTCAGTCATTACATTTCACCCCATGCTCGCAAACTCGCCAGCAGGGAGCTGCAGAGGTTTGCGTAATGGGATGAAAGTTGTTAAGCAGTGTTGTCCACACGCTTAACCAAACCTTTGTTCACCTGACACTTGGCGTTATCCTCTGTGCTTTGCAGATGGATCACTGATGTTTAGTGGATGGGAGTATGTTTGCAGTGCCCTTTCTCCATGTTTCCAGCCAGAATCATCAGGATTTTCTTTTGTTTCTCTAACCAGGTAGTCGATAGTGACAGACCAGAAGGGTCCAAGTTCCGGCTCACGGGGAAGGGAGTGGATCAAGAACCGAAAGGAATTTTCAGGATCAATGAGAACACGGGCAGCGTCTCGGTGACACGGACCCTGGACCGGGAAGTGATTGCTACTTATCAAGTGAGTACACGTGTTTGTTCCCCCTGCGGGCAGGCAGAGATGGCTGCTGCCCTGATGCGCTGTTTATTCCTGGGCCTCATCAAATCAGGCCTGTGTGGCTTTAGAAGGTCTCTATGGGAGCAGAATCCTATCAGGGCAACACTGGGGAGGGGCCTGCTCTCACTGGGAGGTCTCCTCAGGGCTACCTGGGCCCTTGGGGGTGAGAGACCAGTAAGGGGGATGCCGGGTCATCTCAGACATGACTGAAACTCTTAACCAGCCTTAGCTTTCCAGAAGCGTCTGATGATCAGGCACTAGGAAAGATGTAAGCCCTTGGACTTGGTGATGCTACTTGTAGAAATCAGTCCCAAGGCCACGGTGAGGAGCCTACTTAGATGTTTTTAAGAAGCTGTTACAGCAGGACATGGTCTTTCCAGTGGAAATGTTTACTAAATGGTCAGCAAAGGGGTCATGTCTTAGTCATCTAGGTCAGCTATCAGAAATATGCAAGTGGGTGACTTTAAAGAGTAGAAATGCATTTGCGCATGATTGGAGAAGGTAGAGAACCAATGAAGGTATCGGCAGTGTTGATCCACAGAGACAGTCATGGGTCACTCTTCTCTCTGAGCAACTCGGGGTGATAGGTGTGGAGCCCACCTTGCTCAGGAGTGATGTAATCACCATGGCAGCAAGAATCCTGTTCCCGGACCAGATCACGAACACAGGTCTCAGGCTTAGGGTCCCAGCATTAACCTACGGCAGGGAATGGTTCCGTTCCATCATGCTTTTCCAAGGGAGAAGGTGGTATTTCTTATAACCATTTAAAACCCTTTTGAAGACATTTTTGTCATATGAGAAAGGCTCTAGATAGCACGTGCAGTTTCAAGAACGCATACAGAGTCTTTCCTAAGAATTTATCTATTTACAGACCATCTTTCTGCACATATAACATGACCGTGGCGCACCTACCAGATGGACCCTTGCAAATGTTACTGAGGTGGTGAAAATGTACGACACTCGCCTTGTTTGCATATGGCTTCATGGTTTGTGGAAAAGCACATAATGTGCACATCATCTATGTAAAAATAAGGTGTGTTATGATGGTTATGTGTTTACAAAGAATCAGAATACAAGAAAATGAAAGTGCTAATGGTTATTTGTGAATGACATAGGAGCGTCCTATGACTGTGGTCACAAAGCAGTGCTCACCAGTCCATTTAAACAAGAGATGGGTCCTCTCGCCGTTCTGGAGGCCAGTAGTGTGATTAGGGCCCCACAGAGCCGCTGAGGCTCGTGGGGGCTCATGGTGTTAGCTAGGTGTCGGCTTGCAGATGTGGTGTGGCTCCTTTGTCCCAGGGCCACCTTCCCTCTGTCTGTGCCTCTTTATATCAGGCTCTCCTCTCCTCAAGGTGTTTGGGGCTCACCCTACTGCGGGGTGACCTCTTCTGTTATAACTGATGGCATCTGGAGAGACCTGATTTCCAAACAAGGTCACATTCATTGGCCCCAGGGCTTAGGACTTCAGCATGAGTTTTAGGAAGACACAGTACAATTCATGATGATTGGTGAAGTGGAACTGTGTGTTCGCCCTTTCTGTAAATGCACTTGCATTGCTTTTATGTCTAGACATAAAAGAGTTGTTTCAGAAGCTGGTACCCACTTGGAATCGAGACCCTAGCAATGAATGGCCAACTGGGATGTTGCTGTGAGCATCTCAGAGTCAACCTTGTCACCTCTTTACTGACAGCAACCAATCTCCTGCCACCAATCCCATTCCATTTCGTAGCAACTCTACAGGATGGAGTATGTGGGCTTCATGGCTTTATCAAGGCTGTGATCCTATGGAAACAGACTGAAGCATTGTCCTGCCAGTTGGTGGGTTTAAACCATTGACTTTTGGTGAGCAGTTAAGGCTTAACCACAGGGCTCCTTGTTTCTATGCCATATTCCTCTAAGTGGTCCCATTTCTTGTCAGCTCTGCAAGCCAGTGTGTATCCTTAGAGGAATGAGGTAGCGTCCCATCTACCTCTCAGAATGCAGGGGAGGCAGGCGGAGGGGAGAGCAAGCTGAGTCTGTGAATGTTCCTCGCCTCCATTCCTGCCCTTGTGCACGCCGGCCTTTGAGCTGAGAATCAGGCTTGCATCTAATTTCTAGGACCAACTTGCTATCTTTTATTTCCTTGGTGAAAATTCCAAACAGCTCTAAAATCTCAAACCTGCTGCTGTCCATTCTGACTCCTGGCGACCCCGAACACAAAGGAAGACTCTTCCTTTGGTGTTCTAAGACTCTAACTCTTAACAGAAGCACACTAACGCTCTCGCTCCCATCCCGTGGCTGCTGGATTTGAATTGCCTACTTTTCTGTTCGCAGCCAAGGTCTTTAACTGCTGAGCTACGGGAGATTCTTGAAAATATTCAAGAGCAAATTAATCCTCATCTCTGCTCCCTCCCCAAACCCTGGCCAAACCCACTTTCTTCCTTTTCTGCAAACAAAGGATAAAGGGACGCAGGTTGGAAAGTCAAGTGCCCTGCCTGAGATGAGGTCACATAGGCTCCAGCTGGCTCCATCAGCACCAGCTGTTGACTTTGGGAGAACCATGGAAGCTCCACCGCCAGTGCCCATCATATGTGACTAACACTTGTCTACTCATTCAACGATGCTGCTTGTGTTTCCAGTGAGGGCCAGATAGGACAAGGACCCTGGAGGAATTAAAGTGCCAGACTGCTGTTGGCGTCGGCAAGATGACAAGTGGTGGGTTTCCCAGCCACCAGCAGACTCAATTCTGAGCACTGTGTCCAAGCGTCTGGGGAGAGTGGAGATGTCCCCCAAAGGACAGAGCTATAGGGGGGCCCATCTGCAGTGAGTGCTGTGGGTGAGCACTGTGTTTTCAGGAGACATCCAAGCAGAACCAGGATATAGGGAATGAATGTTGCTGCCCTCAGAAATTTCCAGATTCCGTATGCGGTTATATATGCATTATATGTAAGCGAACAGACTGGAACAAGGGACGGGCTGCGGTGGTGGGAGGGGGGAAGAAAACATGCAACAATGAATAAAAAACATTAATAAATATTTAAAATCCAAATTCCAGTTCACTTAACCTGGGGTCTCTTGGCAGCCCCTGGTATCCAGCTTTCTTAACAAGAGCCCTCATCAGGCAGCACGTAGACTCTCCCTTCTCTCCACAACCGTCACAAGAGTCCCCGTTCCGTCTCAGACACAAGGAGCCAAGGACACAATCCCTTTCATCATTTCATGGCACAGTGATTAAGAGCAAGAGCGATGGGGTCAAAAAAATCCAAGTTCAAGTCTCAGATCTGTTCCTGACCAGGCTGTGTGACTTGAGCACCCACTTAACCTCCTTGACCTTGTATTTCTGCTCATTCATAAACTGGAGATGGTAATAATACCTCTCAGGATTGCAAAAGATGATGTTTTGCACGCACTCAGTCACAGCTGCTCTGGTGAAGTTCCTTGGAACATTTTATTTTCCAGTTTCTAGTTTGGTTTCCCCCGTTTGTAACGCCAGTTTTCTACCTTAACTGTGAGAAGGTTGATGTCTACCATTCCTTTCATTCTGATGTTGCTACGAAAGCATTTGAAGAGTTGTTCCTGGATGAGGCCAAACTGCAGAGCATCCTTGGGGTTAGAGATAAAGCTCAGGGGAAAAGGTGGGAGGTTTTCTTGGGAATGTTCTGGAGCCTTGAAAGATAACTAGGAGGCATCCGTGAACTCAGAATATGCAGACTGCCTAAAATAAGAGCCAGTGAGAGTGGAAGATACCTTTTTTCTTTTTTTTACCAAGATTTAATGTACATTTATTCTTAACACGTGGAACATACAATATAAAGATTTCATACTGAGATACCTTTTAATGGTAGTCCCACAGGAATGCTTAAGAGGCGAGTGGGAACTTGGATCCACCAAAAGCTTACGGGTCCATGCTGAGCTTGAAGGAGTTGTAGACTCAAGTTGAAGGTCCTTCTGTGTGTCTCATACAGAGAGAAACTCAGGGCTCCATAAAACAAAGGCTCCAGCGCATGGACACGGAGTAGTACAATGACCTTTATCCTGTGGACTGTTCCTTCCAGGAGGTCCTGGGCTGTGATGGCCAGCCAGGGGCCCAGCCTCAACTACATCCTCACCAGCCCCACTGAGGGCCCCGGGACCTAATGTGGCTCCCTTTGCAGTGTAATTCCTGAGCTGCTCTTCCGATCCTTGTTGGGAAGGGTCCCTATGGACTCTTTGTCTGTTCTCCTGCTTCTAGATGTAATGAGCATCGATTACTCTTGTACTCTCGATGGCAAAGGACTATGCAGGATGTACAGCATCCCAGCTGATTGCAGGGATCCATGGAAGCATCAGGGGTCCTTCGGAAAGTAAAGCTGGTCCTAGATTGGCTGTGCTCTGGAGCTCGTTCTCGGTGGGAATCCACTCCCTTGAGGAGTATACCCCTACAGGAAGGCGAACACCTCCAGCCTCTCCTGGCTGCCTTTCCCCTCATGCAAGTTTACAAAACAAGCTGTGTGTGGGTGAAGCCTTTGCCATGATAATTGCTCGTGTCTAGCATTGTCTCTTACTTTAAAGTGAAGTACCACTCACGTGCACATTCACGCCTGTGTATTAACATTTCCCAAATGCAGCATGAAAGCCTTTCAAGCAAAGCCTCGGGGACTTGGTGATAAGAAATAATCTGGGATAAATTTGCTCTTGGACCACTGCATGTGTGTCATCACCGAAGCGGCTGTTGATTGAATGGTACATGGCAGATTCTGTGCTAAACACTTCACATACATTCTCTTACTTAATCCATTTCACACAAGAGACTTAGAAAGTAGGTGTTAACACCGTTTTGCAGATAAGGAAATAACTGTTAAACAACTTTTTTCAAGGTCTCGCAGCTGGTGTGTATTGAATTTCGGGATCTATATCCTTTTTTCTCCACCTCCAAAGCCCTGTGCTTTCAATCACTGAGAAATCCTCTGTCCCCTCACCAGACGAGCTATCCAGCAGGGAGACTC